TTAAATTGCTGTGCCGGGAGGGGGGGGGAATTGTGAGAGTCATCGGCGGGGCAGAGAGGAAAACACAGCCTGCGAAGAAAACTCCCAAAGCAAAATAGAGCCATTTCAGCCCATTAAGAGAGACAGAACATTCCTCTTCTAATTTTCTAAACAGATGGTCTGACACAGTTGGTAATGTTGGAAGGTGCAAATTTCATCTTGCTCTTTCCAACGTGAGTAGAAAATAACAAAGACGACATTGAGTGGGGGAAGGGACAAAACGAAGGCTCAGCAGCACAGGTGCGGGGAAGAGAATCCAACATAAAAAAATACGAGGAGAAAGGAAATTAGCATGGGGGGCCTGCCTACAAGCAATGGAGCTCAGAGTTAGAGGCATTAGAAACAGAGGAGCTTTCCATCAGAAAGGAGAGTGGAAACTGCAGCAATTCACATGCTCATCGAAGGTCAAGAAGGGAAATCGTGCAAGCAAACACAGGTGGTTTTTACTATCGTTTTCATTTTTTTTAGTCCACAAGCTTTATGTAAGCAATTACATTGTTTCCTGAATTGTTTTTAAGGCTTTGCTTCATTGAAATGCATTGACATTGATTACGTAACTGGTTACATAACCGGCTACATTTGTTTCAGCAGATAGCAAGGCAAGCAAGGTAGACTCTAGGGGAAGCCGGACTGCAGTGGAACAGAAGCGTTGCAAGGAATGCAGGACAGGGATGGAAACGGCTTCCTCCTTACATTCCATATGAGAGGCTTGAAACAGACGAGGCAATTGAAATTAGGCATGGGAGAATGAAAGAAGGATAGAGTCCAAAGGATCTTCGAGGTGAACCACAAATGGAGGAGGGTGGAGAAACTTTTTCACTCTGCATTGCTTTCTGAGCAGCCTGGGCCACATTCACACCAGACATTAAAAGCACTATGACACCACTTTAAACAGTCATGGCTTCCCCCAGAGAAATCTGGGAACTGTAGTTTGTTAAGGGTGCCAAGAGTTGTTAGGAGGTCCTCTGATAGTACATATTGCATATCTAAATGGAGGACACAGAGAGATGTGCGTACAAGGGTAAAGTTTACATTTGTCACCCCAACCATTTTTGTCTCTGGCCCTGTCCTCCATTGGAATATGGTCCTCAAAAGGTTGCCGAGAAGTGAATGTGGCCCCTGGACTAAAAAAATACTCCCCAACCCTGCTGTAGAGGACTGATGCAATCAATAAATGGGAAAATGGCAGTTTGGGGAAGGGTGTGTGTGATTTTTTGGCAGAACCACAGTGCAAGGAGGAGATGGATAAACAGACACATTTACTGTATTCACAAATTCAGCATCAGTCTCTTTTGGTCCCAAGGAAAAACTAAAGTGAAATATAATTTTGCAGCACATAGTATGGATGAAAATAAGGTGGTATGAGAATCTGTGCGATTCACACAGCCACTTTGAAGGGGCTCTTTTAAAATTCTCATTAATGAGACTTTTACAAAATGAGGAAATAAACAATGTCTGCTTGATATTTCCCCAATTAAGACTAGCCCTGCAGAGCTTGACTGGATTTTGAGTCATGACGGTGACTCATTATCCTATATCATTTCTGAAATTCCCTAAAGCGAGAGATAAAATGCCACGTGGGCATACGACTACTAATAGGTTGGCAACATTGATATTAACATGACTTTTAAAAGTCAGTTTAACAGCACCAGTTTTTACAGAGTCCCTCTCGAAATGGTCTCCAAGGTGTGATCTTCAGCTCTGAAGAAAAAGAGAATAAAAATAATCCCCACAGAATGATTCCAGTGAACAATTTCAAACTGGAAATAATCAGGCACAATTATTGACATGTTTAAGGGGTAGGGGGAAATACTAGGAACATCTTCTTCAGGTGTACTTTTAAAAGCAAAAATAAAAGGTTTGAAATATACCCAAGGATGACAGGGAAAAGCAAAGCCTAGGGAGATGAACTACATGCTTTGCAGGATGTAGAACAGTATTTGGAAAGGAAGCTGCCTTATACTGACTCAGCCTCTCAGTTCATCTAGTTCAGAATGGTCTACACCAGGTGTGGGAAAGTCTTGGGCCTCCAGCTGCAACTACAGCTCCCATCAGCCCCAGCAAGCATGGCCGATAGACTGGGATGATGGGTGCTGAGTGTTATGTACTGAAGTTCTCACCCTGGGCCAGCAGGGGGATACTGTAGATAGTTATGCAAATGAAGGATCGAAAGTGACATTCAGTGATTGGATAGTTTTAGAAAGTTGCTACAGTAACGTTGTACTGGAGCTCTATATAAGCAGGCTGACTGAGCCCTTCAGCTCAGTTCTGTTCTGGCTTCGGAATAAACAAGAGCTGTTTGAAGCACCGCTGTGTCGTCTGATATGTTCACCCACAACTTAACACTGAGAGTCCAACAACATATGAAGGCCCAAAGATTCCCTCCACCTAGTCCACACTGATTGGCATCAGCTTTCCAGGATTTCAGAGAGGAGACGTTCCTTGAGAACGAACTTGTGACCTTCTCTAGGCATCTGCAAGCATCTGGTTGACTACTGTAAGAATAGGATGCCGGACTAGATAGGCCATTGGCCTAATCCAGCAATATCAGTCAGCAATATCAAAAGCAACATGATGGCCAGAAACAATTACAATGTGAAAAACTTTATGGAATAATTCAAAACATCAAAAGTAACAAAATAAAGTCTCTGAAAGTCCTTAAATGAATCACGGTGCCAGACTTTACCTGGCGGAGAGCAAGCTGTGAAGCTTTGTATAATCAGCAAATGTCCAATTCTGAACTCTGCTGAACAGTGTTTCCAGATAACAACTACTGTTTTGTTGAATTCTTCATCAGCCAATTAGTTAAGTGTTGAACTATAAAGTTTTTCACATTGTAATTGTTTCTGGCCATTGTGTTGCTTTTGATAATGCTGACTCAGATTTCACAACACAGGGGTTGGTTTGTTTACTCAATGGCCTAATCCAGCAGGCCTTTTGTTATGTTCTTATGTAAAGCTGGTGCTCTAACACTTAGGGCATCTCCGCAGTTCGTCTTGTCCTGCTGCAGAAACCACTGTTCTTTTGTGCTCAATCAGAGCCAAAGGCAATTCAGGTTCCCCCCAGATTGCCATATGTTGCAAACTATCACTAAAGAGCAGGTTTTATTGGCAAAACCTATTTGGTGTTTTGCAACTTTCTGACTAGTTGCAGGACCTTAGCCAGACCTAGCAGAGTAAACCCAGAATCCACGGAAGTAATTGGTAACTTGGCTGCAGACAGGATAGATGAAGCAGGAACCAGGAACTTGTTGTTAGATGTTTATTATATACAGTGTACTATTTGCAGGAACAGTACATGGATCTTTTGCTAGCTCTCTCTGACACGACTCACAACACAGAACTCTGAACTCACAAACCTCTGAACTAACACATTCCAGTTAGAGGTAAAGGTAAAGGCACCCCTGACCATTAGGTCCAGTCGTGACCGACTCTGGGGTTGCGGCGCTCATCTCGCTTTATTGGCCGAGGGAGCCGGAGTACAGCTTCTGGGTCATGTGGCCAGCATGACTAAGCCGCTTCTGGTGAACCAGAGCAGCGCACGGAAAGGCCGTTTACCTTCCCGCCGGAGCGGTACCTATTTATCTACTTGCACTTTGACGTACTTTCGAACTGCTAGATTGGCAGGAGCAGGGACCGAGCAACGGGAGCTCACTCCCTTGCGGGGATTCGAACTGCCAACCTTCTGATCAGCAAGTCCTAGGCTCTGTGGTTTAATCCACAGCGCCACCCGCGTCCCTAACACATTCCAGTTAGTAGGCCATTAATTATCACTCCCTTGAGAGAGCTTGACCAATCAGGGAGCGGTCTCCATGTCTCTGTTATCACCAGGCAGACTTACTCCTTCAGATTGCCTTCTGGCTATCTGCCAAACCTTAATTGACTCTGTGTGAGAAGCTGCACATACACAGTTTCCCAACAGGTTTTCCCTTGGAAAGGGGCAGAGCAAGGAGAAAACAGTTCAGGCTTTCTGTACCTAGAAAGTGCAGATCAAGTGGGAAATCTTTCTAGGCACAGCACAACTGGAAGTGTGACTGAGCCCTCAGTTATGGCCATTCCTCAAAGGTTTTTGAACCCATTCTCCTCTTCTAAACTTAGGCTGCAATCCTGAGCCCATTACCCTGAGAGCGAGCTCCACTGAAATCAGTAGGACTTCTGGATAGGCACAGTTAGGAGTGCACTGGTCTCTACGTTTTCAGGGCACTTCACTGCATTTCCCATGGATTACTTGGTCATGCTAGTCTGTGGAGATCTGAGAAGGACCAGAACTCAGTGGCAGAACTCATGCATTGTACATAGAAGGTCCCAGGAGCTGTCCCCAATGTTTCCAGTTAAAAAAACAGCCAGGAAGCAAGTGATTTAAGAGCTGCTGGGAAGCTGCTGCCAGTCAAGGGGCTATAATTCAGGGACAGCTAACGTTGTGCCCTCCATGTGTTGTTTGACTTGTTGAACTCCCATCACCCCCAGCCACCATGGCCAATGGCCAGTGATGATGGGAATTCTATTCCAACAACATCTGGAGAGCCATCAGTTACTGATGCCGGGTATAGAGTAGACTCCCTAGCCTGATTATATTTATTTAGTGTTTTTATACCTAACTTCCTCCCAAGCTGGGATTCAATGGGGCTGTCAACATTTAAGAACATCATTAAAAGATATACAGTGGTACCTCGGGTTAAGAACTTAATTCGTTCTTGAGGTCCAAACTGTTCTTAACCTGAGGTGCCACTTTAGCTAACGGGGCCTCCCGCTGCCGCTGCGCGATTTCTGTTCTCATCCTGAAGTAAAGTTCTTAACCCGGGGTACTATCTCTGGGTTAGCGGAGTCTGTAACCTGAAGCATCTGTAACCTGATGCATCTGTAACCTGAAACATCTGTAACCCGAGGTACCACTGTAAAGTAATAAAAACAAACTAGGTAGCTGTGTTGGTCTAACGCAGTCAAAATAAAAAATTAAAAAATAGTCCAGTAGCACCTTAGAGACCAACTAAGTTTGCTTTAGGTATAAGAAGAAGTGTGCATGCACACAACAGCTTATAACTAGAACAAACTTAGTTGGTCTCTAAGGTACTACTGGACTATTTTATTTTTATTTTTTAGTTAAAAACAATAGCTGAAATACATTAAAACAAATTTATAACCAGCAATTAAGATGCAGTTTGCTGTGACGGCATCATCTGCACCGTAGTTTTCAAATGCTTGTCTGAATAGGAGCCAATCTAACCTCTCTTGGGAGTGAATTTTCAGAGCAAAACGGGCACGTGGATATGGATGTGAGAGCTGTGTTTGCCTCTGAATATAAATTTAAGCCACCATGAGATGAGAAGAAGATGGTTCTTCTTATGGATTGGTAACTGATCGTCAAACAGGAAGCAGAGATCAGAAATCATTGCAGAGAGAAAAAAAGCATTATGTTTGTCTTTGTAAACTGTGAGGGCAAAAAAACAGGTCATTCTTTGTCCCAAGTCACTCTGTTGTAGTTTCCAAATGATCCAGAATATGCTCTTTCCATGGATAACCAGTGATGAATTAAGCATGAAACATCTGATCTGAGATCACACCACAATCTAAAAATAGACTCAGTCAAAAGATGCTGAAAAGAAGCCTCAATGTGCACAATTGGATTGGATGCCCATAAGAATCCAGAATAGAGGTGCCAACTGGCAATTGTCTGATCTGTACCCACCCCTCTGTGCGCAAAGCACACAACCAGCTGTGTCTAATTGGATCTGGCAGTGACATGGTGACATTAGATCAGCTACGTACAGGCCAAAACCATGGACAATTTTTGGGCGACATTTTTTTTTTTTACCAGTGTCCAAAAGAACACCTGTGCTTTGGGGCTCCTTGTGAACATGTTCACCTCTTTGTGCTCATTGCACACACGTAAGCCATGTTCACACCATACATTTAAACCACTATGGTACCACTTTAAATACCGTATTTTTCACTCTATAGGATGCACTGGACCACAAGACGCACCTAGTTTTTAGAGGGGGAAATCAAGAAACAAAATATTATTTTTCCCCCAGCCTGTCCGCCTCTCCCAGAGCTTCTCAGGGCTGCGGGGAAAGCCCGGGGTCCCCCCCCCCCCAGCCCCAAAGAGCAAAGAAGCCAAGACAGCGAGCAGGATCCATCCCGCTGGCTGTCTTGGCTTCTGCCATAGCCGCGCAATCTCTCCAGCGCGACTAAAGAAGTGTGGCTTCTTTAGCCTTGCACAGCCTCTCCCAGCTGGCAATTCCCCCACCTCCCGCAAAAGCCCACAGGAGCCGCGCACCATTTAAGAAGCGTGCGGCTCCTGCGGGCTTTTCTACGAGGAGGGAGAAGGGACTGACTGGCCACATCAGTCCCTTCTCCCTCCTGGGGAAAAGCCCGCAAGAGCCGCGCGAAGCTTGTGTGTGGCTCTTGGAGGCTTTTTCTGCCTGCCTCCCCCCCTGCATTCACTCCATAGGATGCACAGACTTTCCCCCTTAGTTTTTAAGAGGGAAAAAGTGCTTCCTATGGAGTGAAAAATATGGTACTCATGGCGACTCCCAAATAATCTTGGGAGCTGTAGTTTGCTAAAGGTGCTGAAAGTCCTTAGGACACCCTCCATTCCCCTCGTAGTGCTACGTTTCTGAGTGGTTTAACAGCTGACCCCTCTTCCCAGTGAACTCTGGGAACTGTAGCTCTGTGAGGGGAACAGTGGCCTCCTAACAACTCGCAGCATGCTTAACAAACTACAGTTCCCAGCCTTCTTTGGGGGGTAAGCCATAATTGTTTAAAGCGGCATCATAGTGCTGCAAGGTAGGGCATGAATGTGACCTCTCACTCATCCTCTATTAGTGCCACTTGTCTTCAGTGAAAATATCCTGGGCTCCTTTGAGAGGAAGGTCAGGGTATACTTTGAACAATAAACAAGCAAGCAAACATATTAATGTCCTGGACCTCTCAAGAAGGGTGGTCAGGCTGGCGGGTGCAAGACCTTCCTTGCATTGGCTCCACAGCTTTGAATCTCCCTCCCCTAAGATGAATGATCAGTCCTCTCTTTAGTAGTGTTTCGTGAACCACGAGCTTAGCATGAGTCCACAGTATGCTGCAGCAGGGAGAAAACCTAATGCTTTTCTAGGCTACATCCACAGAAGTCTACTGTCCAAATCAAGCGATGTAAAAGTTCTGCCTTGGTCAAACCACACCTGGAATAATGTGTCCAGTTCTGGGCATCACAATTTAAGAAGGATGTTGACAAGCTGGAATGTGTGCAGAGGAGGGCAGCCAAGACTATCAAGGGTCTGGAAACTAAGCCTTATGAGGAACAGTTGAAGGAGCTGGGTATGTTTAGGCTGGAAAAGAGGAGACTGAGAGGAGATATGAGAGCCATCTTCAAATATCTTAAGGGCTGTCACATAGAGGAGGGAGCATGCTTGTTTTCTCCTGCTCTGGAGGGTAGGACTCGAACCAATGGCCTAAAGTTACAAGAAAGGAGATTCTGGCTAAACATCAGGAAGAACTTTCTGACAGTAAGAGCTGTTCATCAGTGGAATGGACTCCCTCTGGAGGTTGTGGACTCTCCTTCCTTAGAGGTCTTTAAGCAGAGGTTGGATGGCCATATGTCCAGGATGCTTTAGTTGAGATTCCTGCATTGCAGGGGGTTGGACTAGATGGCCCTTGGGGTCCCTTCCAACTCTACAATTCTATTATTCTAAGTCATAAGGATTGCTTTTAATGTATGTCTGTATTGCAGTAGGCAGAACCATCTGTTTTTATTCAGAGAGTTCGCCCACATATCCATTTGTCCCATGCTCAGAAAGCATGGATCCGAGACATTTTCCACTTAACCCACACTTTCTAGGCATGACTTTGAGAAGTTGTCCTCTCCCACCCCACTCCTTTCCTGGGAAAACCTGCTCTTTAGATCTAAATCGGAACAAATAACAATCCGCAGAAAACACTGATTGCTGTTTGCTCCAATTGAGGGCTAAAGAGCAGTTTTCCCCGGGGGAAAACAGAAGAACAATAGAAGGTGTGATTCTAGATTCAGGTAGGTAGCCATGTTGGTCTGACGTAGTCGAAATAAATTTAAAAATTAAAAAAATGTCCAGTAGCACCTTAGAGACCAACTACGTTTGTTCTGGGTATAAGCTTTTGTGTGCATGCACACTGAAGAAGAAGCGTGCATGCACACGAATGCACCCAGAACAAACTTAGTTGGTCTCTAAGGTGCTACTGGACAATTTTTGAATTTATTTCAAATAGGAGGTGTGGTAAGCCCTTATAGTGGTAAAGCTTGCTGCGAAATGTATGGAACTGCTGTTGCCATGGCTGTGATTGTGTTGTGCATATTCTTTTGCATTGTTTTCAGTGCTGTAAGCAACTGTGGGGAAAACACTGTCTTTTGAACAATGGCAAATCATGGCAATAACTTTATTTGTACTCTGCCCTTCATCTGAAAGTCCCAGGGGGGGACTTCACAATCAAGCTTAACCTTGAAGGTAAAGAAAACAGCATGAAACAATCAAAATACAAGACTCAAATGAAAAGGAAAAGGAAAACACATCAGCAGTGGTTGAAAGATGCAACTGCACAATACTCATCCCTGTTCCCCAAAGACCTGGGATAAGAGGTGCATCTTCAGCTGCCATGAAGACAAAATCTGTTCCACACCACAGGGTTCATCCTCCCCATACAACACGCAGATGCATGGTTCTTATTTTGGAGGTATTTGTTTATACCAGCAGGAGACCTGAATAGGGGGCCCAATGCCTCTTTGCTGGCCCTTGGATCTCTGCCCCGGCTGTGAAACAGTAGCTGCTTCTTGCTTCTGCTGTAGTTTGCATCGTCCTTTGAACCAGAGTGCCTTCCTCTGAGCATTGCTCACAGGGAGCAACGGAGAACCTCAGGGTTGCAGTTGAGGCCCCCCAGTGTCTGATAATTCAGGCTGATCCCCTGTAGCAAAACCCAAGGCAAGGATAGAGGGCTACGGAAAATGTAAAAGCCAGTCCTGACAGCTGAGAAACCCACTCAAAATCCAAACTGAAAGCGCTGCGTGCATTACTGCCATGGCATGTTTGTGCCGATTGAAGCCCCTGGAAAACTAAATGGAGCATGTAAAGCGACAGTGAATAAAGGTTAAAGTTGCACCTTTAACTTAGCACAATGCCAAGTTCCGTTTCGCCGTGGTTTGTAACACAATGCTAACAGCGGCAATCGTGCCTGGGGCCTGGCGTCTGCAGTCGGAAGATAAACAACACCACTCTGGCCTCGAGAGCTGATGGATTGTGAAAGGCGCTGCCCCCGTCAATAGACTCTCAGCCATGAATAGGGTTCGTGCTAAATTTACAACCATTATATAATCTCAGAGATTGCTTGCCTTGTACACATAGGGAGCTCTGTAGGTTTCCATTTCAAATTGGATCCTTCTCTTTCTCCTCTACTCCCTTTTATTCATCAGTATGCCTATTCTTTGACGTTCTTAGAAGCTGTTAGCATTGTTGGACAATTTTCACTTTAGCCTTATTAAATCTTCACACTGCGGAGGAACCCTTTTATGAATGAAGCTGTCAGCTGGACACCGTTCTGCTGAAGAATATCAGATAACGGGTCAGAAAGAAGTGTCCTCAATGGCCCCAGACCATGTGCTCCCAGCTCCTGGAAAATGGCGGACGTCACGTGGAGCAAAGCCTTTTCAAAAGTGGGGCCAATGTTGCCAGGGAGCTCACCTTCTTCCATTGGGATTGGCCTTGGGGAAACTGGAAGTGGCGACTGCCTTTTGGACAGCTTTTGTCAAGGGCACTTCCAGGCCAAAGGAATGCATGCGGCATATAGTTAACTCATTATTGCCAAACATAACGCTTACAGTCTCTTCCACAGCTCTGAATATCTAGGCACACCAATCCAATGTCCAGGCAGCTATTCCCTATGGTCTGTGCCCTATGGAGCAGTTGCAGCAACAGGGCCTTCCTCTCCCTCCACCGTATGTACCTTCCACCAACAGGCTACATGCATGCAGCTGGAGACTATGCCTGCATGAAAACTTCCTCTGCCCACCACTTTTCAGTCCCCTACTGGTTCTGATCTAGACAGTGGTGCAGGAGAAGGTGG